GTTGGATGGGGCTTGCAAAGAGCTTTCCAACGATATATTATAAGCCCAATTCCGATGAATGTTGAGGAGGTTATGGCCAATTTACTAAACTGGGCCCGGTTTGAACCTTATATGCGGCCCAATGGTCTAAGGGAGGGCCTAATACGGATTTATCATTCCTAATGCAATTAGGAATTGTTTTAGTCTTCTAGAATCTTCTAGAAGGTTCTTTTCATTCCTAATTCAATTAGCATTGATAAATTGACTTTTGACTTTTCAGAGTTTTATTCAAAATCAAATAGTATTTTTGAGGAAATTATATGATTTTATCCTCCATTACGGCAAATTGATCTGATTTTCGAAAACGCGTTAAAATCTGACTTGGCGCCTGGCCCCTGGCTTTGGCGCCTTGAACCAGGCCTGGCACCTGGCGCTAGCCATTGGCGCCTGACACTAGTGTTGGCGCCTGGCGCCAGTTAGCCAGTGTTGGCGTCAACTATGTTTTTTGTGCGTCAGACTCTGTTTTGTTTATTTTATCTTTTTGGCTAATTTTCTCTATAAATATCGTATTAAAAAACTCCGTTTTCATTCACCAATTCTCACCAATAATCATCTACAATCAGTTTTAATTAGCATTCTCTAATTCATTATTCTCTCTCTTTCTCTCTCTTTTTCTAAACTTTGTTTTCAAATACAAAATTCCGCATTCGCAAGATCTCGAAACACCTAACCATATTCGAAGTTGCCTTCGCCCTAGACGTGAAAGCTTTTAATTTCTGAGGGTTTTGTCCCAAATCTCTATTTCAATTATTTAATTTAATTGTTTGATATTATGATGTAGAAATCATGTTTATATTATTGTTATGATATTCCTAGTATCATGTCTAGGGTAATTTTAATATTAAATATGATTGCTATGATGCCTTTTATTCTCTTCCTAATATTTATGATTGTTAGTATCATGTTAGGGCTAAAGATTTGATTTTTATTGCTTAGTGACATGCTAGGGTTTGTTATTAATCTTGTTAGTATCATGCCTAGGATCTTGCTATTTTTATCCTGCTTTAACATGATTTATGATTATTTTTATAATTGTGTTTGATTATGATTATAATTTTATTATTATTATAATTATTATTATTATGATCATGATTATTAATATGATTGTTATTATGATGATTATAATTGATTATGATTATGTTGTTTGATATTTATTTATTTATTGCTTGATCACACCTTTATTGCATGTTTAAAGGGAATTTGTACTTGTAATCACGCTTAATAAGATATTTAATAATCTTGTTAGGGTTAATATGATTATAATTTCAAGTGATCGCCAATAATAGATTTATTTGTGCATTAATATTCAACCAACATCAATAAACAGGTTTAGGGTAATCCTATTGATTGCATGTTAATCAGAAAGCGCACATGAATACGATCAGAATAAAGTAGAGGCCTATTATTAGGGCAGGTTCAATCTCTTTTAGGTTGGATTTGTACCTTCATCCGCGAACCCTTATTTGGTTCTAGACCTTATGGAGTTGACGATCTCTTGGATCATTAAGGGGTGTAACCTTCATCCTATGAACGATTTACAAGTTCCTAAAACTTGTTGGCGACTCTTTTGCTCTATCATCTTCCCTTTTGGACGCCACCGTACTTTAGTGTATGATCACAGTGGGGTTCAAGATAGGGGTTTAGTGCTTGAAAATATTCCCTACAGTTTTTGGCGACTCCGCTGGGGAGGATTTCTATTTTAATTCCTGAATTTGTTTCGGCAATGATTTAAAATGAGTGGATGAGACTCGAAACGTTCTAAGTATTTCATGTGCGTGATTTTGATTAACATTATTGTCATATGCATAAAAAAGATATCACTGGAAAGACCAACCGTAATGAGTTAAAAACATAGGATTTTACACGTAGGAAATTTGAGGAATATCTTTCCCAAGTAGGACCGAAATAACACCGTGCGAAACTGAAAAATTTTATCGAGCACAGAAAGCTGCTGAGGCATGTGGGAAGTAGCGTCAGGGGCCAGAGCTTGGCGCCAGAATTTTAGCCGTAGCGCCAGGCACCAATATTGGTGCCAGGCACTACAGTTAAAAGCTGACGCCAGTCGAGGTTTGCTGGCGCCAACCTCCCCCAATACCGAGCCAGAAATATGCGTTCTAATTTCACTACAACAAAAGGGTTAATTAGTAGCACCAAATTAATAGCACTAATGATAAAATGCTATTATTGTTATCAAATGATAGCACATTATTTTTTAGTGCTGTTAGAAAGATGCTATTAAAATCACCTTAGTTTTCATCATAGTTTTATATAGCGTTTATTCCTAAACGCTGTTAATTAAGTGCTATCAATTAAAATGGTTATATATAATAAATAAATAATAAAAAAAAATTATTCCTATTTCTTAGCCTAATTTCCCACCAAACTACTGGTATTAGAATACTAGTCTACTACTCACAATTACCCACGACTTCACTGCTCCCTCCACTTCACAAATTTTTTTATTTTTTTTTTGTTTTGCCGCTAGAAACTACAGCCCTCAATCCCAATTTCCCCAAATTGAGTTCCCTTCAATCCAAATCCAAATCCCAGTTTCCCTAAATTAATTAAAGAGATCCCTTCAGTCCAATAAATTGTTGAGCAATTCCTCTTCTCCGGCAAATTGTGGGCAGTTGAGCAATTCTTCTATTTCTGCAAATTGAGCACTTCATTGTCCTCTCTACTGGTGTTTGCGAGCTTCGTTAATTGAAATTATCAATTGTGAGTATTTTTTTTCTTATGTAATTGCATTTTTTAAGTTTGAATTTGCTGTTCTTCATGGGTCAATATTCAATGTTTTTGGGTTATGCTGTTTATAGGACTTTTAGTTATGAAATTTGCAATTTTGATTAAGGTTTTTTGAGGTTTAATCTGAATTTGCTAATTTGCATGTTAATAAATTGTGTTTTGTTCCATTTTATTCTGGTTGTTTGATATTTCATTAGGCTTATATGATCCCCATTGCCTATTTAATTGAGGTAGAAGGCTAACATGTGTTCTAGTGTTATATTTTGTTCTTAAAATGGAGAGGATCTGAATCACACAACGTTCCGTCCGTTTGAGCAGAGTAGATTTGCTGCAGTAACTGAAAAAATTAGGTAGGATTAAAAATTCAAACTTTCACATAATCATAAGTGAATACAACAGAATCTTAGTTTAGATGTTTCAAAAAAACAAATCTTAGTTTAGATGTTTAGGGTGCGTGTCTCTGTTGTATATTATGATACATAGTCATTCAATTGACAAGTTTAGTCATTTGGGTCGTTCAACAATCATTAGCTGTGGATCATACATATCTATGTAAGTAGAAAGTATGCATGTAGGTAGATATGGTTAATAATCAAATTAATTGCAATAAATGGAGAAAAATACAATAGCCAACATGCATAATTATTGAGTCAAAAATCATGAGTCTGTTAACTTGTACAATTTTTTTCATGAATTTATCTGGTCATGTCTATACCATGGATTCACTAAAAGAATACTAAGTGTAGGATTGGACCAAAGTATCTATGATCATTTGCAATAACTAATTTAATTGGGCACCAAAAATACTTGCACAACTACTAAAACAATAACAAGATACATCACAAACATGAAGTTTCTACTTTGTACACTTTCTAATTTTCTAGCTTGCTCAGAAAAACTGAGTAAAATAAGGGGAAGAGAAACCCGGACCCACAGATGTTGTAATCAATCATCAAGATATCAAATTCACTATTTGCTTAGTAGAGGAGTATTTTTGTTAAATAGTTTCCTAATAAACACTAAAGATAGGCATGGTCCACAATTACTTGTGAAATTAACAAACGATTTAGTCAATGTAAGCAAAGAAGAACATTTGGATACTCTCTAGCATAGTTAGTCTTAAAGTACACGTCTAAGTGTTAGGCACAATCACTTATTAATGATTTAACTCATGGAAATACCAACCTTTAATGAACATCTATGGTTCTTGTATCATAGTATCTTTAGGGACCTGATAAAAATCACTAAAGATACTAAAGAAAAGTAGTATTATAGTCACTTTGCTACAACTGCCAGCTAATTTAGGAGTTATCATGGATAATGTTTTGTGTCCCTACTTGAATTATTTCTAGTCCATATAGTTTAATAAAGAAAAGTAGTATTAATTGAGTATATACAAATAAACTTGAAAAGAAAAGAGGCTTGGTTATTGTAAAAAGGACCAACACATATGCCTTACACTAACTTGGTTTTCATTATAATCTTAAAGGTAAGTGCATTTAGAATTAGCAGGGCAAAACAAGTGAAAAGTATGGCCACATAATATGCTAATGCACGAATTGAACTTGGAACTCTTTTAGTCTAATTGAAATCTACTCCATGTACTACTATCTTGAATAGCTTGCTATACCTCAATTATTAATAATTATTAAATCATACTTTATTGTATAGTGGAATATAAAAGCGCTTCTATACTCCTACAATTTTTAAGTGTTACAACCTAACCAACACATAGTTTCATGAAAATCAATTGACTTTAATATAAAAGGTTATAAGTGGGTTAGTGGGGTATTATTGTAAGAAAATTTAGCTGGGTTAGTATTTATTGAAAAGTAAAGGACATGACAGGGAAAAAATAGTTTAAAAAAATTAGTAGTGTGTTAAAGAGGCGACCACAAGGAGGGAATTGTTAAGATATGCTACAAATTACTTGTATCGGATTAAATTTGAATATTACATATATGTATGAAATTAATTGATTTCATTATTGTTTATTTGTTGTTAATTGTGATTAGTACCTCACTCTATTATCTAATTTTATAAGGTTTAAAAGTCCATTAATGACTTTTTTAAAATTCTTTAAGAAATTTCATGGAAAAGGTTATCTTGTATATATACACAAACTATATTAACCTAAATTAGTATAATTATCATTAATTATTCCGATCCTTTTGTTAGTTATCGTAGTTTTACTTTTATGGTGTAGCAATATAAAAATGGATCGGAAATGGATGCTTGCAAGGCGTACTAGTGACGAGTATGAACAAGGGGTAGATGAGTTTATTGCATTTGCTATTGAGCATGCTGAAGATCCTTCTCGCATTTTGTGTCCATGTGTCAATTGTAACAACATGATCCGACACAATGTCGAGGATGTAAGAATCCATTTGGTGGTTAATGGAATTATCCAACAGTACAAGTGTTGGATAAAACACGGTGAGACATTAGGGGACATACCTTCTTATGTAGATACTGAGATGTATGATGAAATGAATGATGATGAAATAGAAGATAATTTCCATCTAGGCAATGAGCATCTAGAAGAAATGACGCGTATTTTAGAGGAAAACATTGAAGATAGTTCTGAAATGTTTGACACATTATGTAGTGGTGCAAAGACCCCTTTGTACCCTGGTTGTTCTACATTTAGCAAATTATCTGCTGTGTTGAAATTATACCATCTCAAAGCTCGTAGTGGATGGACTGATACAAGTTTTTCGAGCTTACTTGAATTAGTGAAAGAGATGCTTCCTATTGATAATGTGCTTCCGGGTCGTATTTACGAGGCAAAGAAGATGTTGTGCTCTATGGGTATGGGGTATGAAAAAATTCATGCCTGCCCTAATGATTGCATTTTATATCAAAAAGGATATGCCTCTTTAAAAAGCTGCCCTGAATGTGAGGCTCCACGATACAAGGAAAATAATGTGCCAGCTAAGGTTATGTGGTATTTTCCAATAGTACCAAGATTTAAACTCTTATTTAGTATTGTTGAAGAATCAAAGAATTTGACATGGCATGAAGATGGGAGAAAAAAAGACGGTTTACTTAGACACCCGGCCGACTCTCCACAACGGATCAAAATTAACCGCGACTTTCCTGAATTTGGTGCGGAGCATAGAAATTTGCGTCTCGCCCTTGCTGCTGATGGAATGAATCCTTTTAGTAATCAAAGTTCTCGTCATAGTACATGGCCAGTCATTTTGATGATATATAATCTTCCTCCAGAACTGATAATGAAAAGGAAGTATATGATGCTGACCATGCTAATTTCGGGCCCAAAACAACCTGGGAACGACATATATGTATATTTGGAACCCTTAATTGACGATTTGAAGATGATGTGGGAACATGGTGTAGAGGTGTATGATGCTTATTGCAATGAAGAATTTAATTTGAAAGCATTGCTTTTTGGTACAATAAATGATTTTCCAGCGTATGGAAATTTGGCAAGTTATGCTACAAAAGGCTATGAAGCATGGCCTGTATGCCAGAATAACACATTCTCCTTCTACTTAAATCATTCACTCAAAGTTGTCTACCCTGGAAATCGCAAATTTTTGCCAGTTAACCATCAATATAGAAGGTGGAGAAAAGCTTTTGATGGGACTTCTGAAGAAGGGACTCCTCCATTGCCGCCAACAGGAGAACAAATACTTGAGAAAATGGAGAAGTTGAATGTCAAGTTTGGGAAGTTGAATGCAAAATATGTTCCGAGCGCTGGTTACAAAAAGAAGTCAAGATTCTTTGACCTTCCTTATTGGAAGACCTTACATATTAGACACTTCCTAGATGTGATGCATATTGAAAAAAATGTGTGTGACAGTCTTATAAGTACTTTACTTAATGTGAAGGATAAGAGTAAAGATGGTGAGGCTGCTAGGCTAGACTTAGTTGACATGAAATTCAGACCCGAATTAGCACCAGCACCAATTAAGGGCACGAATCGTACATATCTCCCACCTGCCTGCCACACTCTATCAAGGAAGGAGAAAGTTTCTTTTTGCGAGTTTCTTTCTGGAGTTAAGGTTCCTGAAGGTTATTCTTCAAACATTAAAAGGCTTGTGTCAATGAAAGACTTGAAGCTAATTAGATTGAAGTCACATGATTGTCATATTCTAATGGAGCATCTTCTTCCAGTGGCTATTCGCTCTATTTTGCCAGAAGCTGTTCGAAATGCTATCACAAGACTTTGTATATTTTTCAGTGAGATTTGTAGCAAAGAGATTGACCCCTTTAAATTGAGTGACTTGCAAAAGGACCTTGTTGTTTGATAAGCCGTCTTATCAAGGGTTGAGAGAAGAGTTTTAGGGTGTGTTTTGATGTTGTGCATGAGTTTTTAATAGCTTTTGTGAGTTTCGGGCGGTGATCTCACTTGTGTGCAAAAGCCGGGATTTATAGGTGTTAGTGAGTGAGTTCGGGAACTAATGAGGAGGATTATAGAGTATGGACCTTAGCTCGTGATTTGAGAAGCGTGATGGAGCTTGGAAGAGCAAGGGAGAAAGCTTGAGTAAAGGTGAAGCAAAGCTAGAAGAAAGAGCAAAGAAGACAGCAGAAGACAGCAGAACCGCTGCCAGGGCCGCTGGCAGCTGGCCAGAGCCGCTGGCAGCGGGTCAGCCAGAGAGGACGAAGTGTTTTGCTGCTTTAGCCGCTGCCAGCGGGTCCCGAGCAGCTGGCAGCGGGTCTTCCAGATTTCGGGGCCTGTTTTGGTTATTTTTCAGTAGTTTGCTTTGTCTTGGCTCGTGTTTTGTATTTATTTATTATTTTTATTATTGTTTTATGTTATTTTAAGTATGGAAACATATATATAGTCTATTTTTATGAAAAGTTAGTGAGGGAGAATTAAGTTAGAGAGAAGTAAAAGTTTTCTAGGGTTCTTGGCAAATTTCAGAAATCTTTGTTTTTGAATTAGAATCCATGGAAGCTTAATCTTCCGGATTCTTGGTTAAAGATTGAAGCTTTTGGCTACGAATTGTGAGATTTCTCTTCTCTTTATTATCTATTGAATGTTTATTATTCCTTTGAATTATTTCATGATTTGGTTTAATCAATTGCTAGGTTAGAATTGTTAGATTCGCTTGCATCTAATTAATCTTTCCAAAGTAGCAACTTTGGGTTATGAATGCATGCTTTTGATTGATAACTTAAAGAGGGAATAATATTATTGAAGAAATTAGACCGCTAGTGTTAATTTATTCAATCCTTGTTGATTTCTCCGTTTATGTTCTTCTTGTGGATGATTTAGAGCGCTTGTCTTAAATTATACATTAGAAAGGGTTAGAAAGGAGCGCTTTGCTATTTCTAACTAGCTTATGAGAATTTAGAATTTAGAATTCTACAACAAGGTGTTCAATAGTGTTTGATTGAAGAGGCTTCTATGATCAATTTGTATGTTCAATTGTGGATTTCGCATAACCAAGACCGTTATTCTCATTGATTGCATACTATTTACGTTCATTGTTCTGATTTAGTTTAATTGTCACCATTGCTTGTCAAAACCCCCTTGTTACTTAGATTACTACGTTCCTAGAGTAATTCCACTTAGGTTTGCAGTTATTAGTCCCTTTTTCCCTGTGGATTCGAACTCGACTCCCCTAACTACGTTTATTTGCAGTTAGCTTAGTTGTGATATTTTTGGTTGCATACGACTGAGGCACACCATTGTTACATTGTGTAAGTTGGAGATGTATTTTCCGCCATCATTTTTTGACATTATGATTCATTTAACTGTTCACTTGGTTAGAGAAGTTCGATTATGTGGACCTGCATATCTGAGATATATGTATGCGATTGAGAGGTTCATGAAAATATTAAAGGGGTATGTTATGAGTGGGAGTCACCCAGAAGGTTGCATTGTCGAGCGTGCCTTAATTGAAGAAGCTCTTGAGTTTTGTAGTCAGTACCTTTCCAAAGTCGATGCAATAGGAATCCCAAAGACAAGGCATACAAAAGGGTATGAAGGAAGAGGAATAGTGGGGTAAAAAGTGGTCTCTTTATCATACAATGAAAGGCATCGAGCACACTTGTATGTACTTCACAATAGTGAAGATGTTGATCCGTATGTAGAGGAACACTTGGCGTTTTTAAGGGATTTAAATCCACGTAAGAGTGAAATATGGATAGCTGAAGAACATAATCGCTCTTTCGTTGAGTGGTTTCAACTTCGAATTGCTGATGAATTAGCTAAGTCACCTTCGCATGTTTCTGACAGAGTAAAATGGCTATCTCGGGGTCCTTGTTTTGAGGTTTTATCATATTCTAGTTATCAAATCAACGGGTATACTTTTTACACAAAGGACAGGGACAAAGAAACCACTATGCAGAACAGTGGGGTGTCGGTGTTGGCCCAAGCTATGCATATCTCTAGTGGAAAAGATAAAAACCCAATATATGCGGATATGACTTATTATGGAATCATCAACGACATATGGGAATTGGATTATAGGACATTTCAAGTTCCGATTTTCAGTTGTAATTGGGTTGATCACAATAATGGTGTGCATTTTGAGAACCCAGGGTTCACTATTGTTGATCTTACAAAAGTGGGTTACAAGGAGGAGCCATTCATATTTGCTTCACAAGCAAAGCAAGTTTTTTATGTGACTGACCCGGCAAATAAAAGGAGACATGTTGTTTTGTCATCAAATAAAAGAAATGTGTTTGGAGACCAAGATATAGATGACATGGAAGACCCTTCATTCTCATTACAATCTCATTCATTTAGCAACAATGTAGTGGAGAATGAGGCATACACAAGAGTTGATCATGGAGAGGGTATATGGGTCGAAAATGCATCAAACTCAAGTACTAAAAAGGAAAAAAGAGGAAAAAGCATTAATTTGGTAATCATACAACCATCTGTTTTTCCCTCTTAGCCCCCAATCTTTTACTGTTATATTAAAAATATTTACATATGCTTAATATGATTTTAATATGAATAATCTGCCCATGTGATTCTTTTTTTAGTGGCTTCTTTACATGTATATGTTATTTTATCTTTGTATGAGCAGGAATTACATTAATTAACATGTTTAAACTTACTAATATATATCTCATGTCCTAGGTTAATGGCTTCTTTACATATCAATCATGAGCATGGTGATGATGAAAATAATGATGCAAATGGTCATCCTACTTATAAAGGTAAAAAGGACACAGGTCGAGGTGCAACTAGAATGGCATCATTGGTTCGAGCTAGAAATAGGGGTGTGAGATTCAATGTTCAGTGGAATGCCGATGGTCAACCTATTGGGGATTATAGTGATAAACTGATGAGTTATTGGGGAGCTAGTATCCACAAAAATGTTCCAATCATTTACCCACACTGGCACAAAGTTCCTCAAAATCTAAAAGATGCACTTTTTGAGGTTCTGGAGGTAAAATTCTTTAATTAATGAGCATATATATATGTTTACATGGAGTTGTACATTGATTACTATTTACATTTTGTTACTTGTTCACTTTAGATAACTTTTAAGGTTACTGAAAGAGATAAAGATTGGTTTTTACGCAAAGGAGGGCGATGTTGGAGCAACTTTAAATCATATCTTTCAAGAAATTGGTTGTTTGATCAACAAGGAAATTTGCGAGAGAAGCCACCTTCAAAATATGATTTTATTGATGTCTCTCATTGGAAAACGTTCGTTAAAAGTCGTCTTTGTAAAAAGTTTCAGGTTTCTTTTCTCTTTTCTATAATACATGATTTATAAAGCAATTAGTCCAGACTTCAATAAACAAACTGAAATGTTAATGATATTTTGCCATTGTTTAATGCTTGAATAGGAGAAAAGTGCAGTTAATCGAGAGCGTGCATCGAAGAATGAGTATCCCAAAAAAAAAGGACGAAGAGGTTGTGCTAGATATGAACAAGATATGGTTAGTATTGAGGTATTATAGTGACATTATATAATTACTTCCAGCAAACTAAACTAAATTTTACTTTTGGTCATAAATCCAGATTAAAAAGCTGAAGAACGATGAAGGTAAAATTGTTTCATGTTTAGGTCGTGGTGAACTATGGAAACTTATGAGAACCAACCAAGATAATATAGTTATACCTTCAGCTAAAGCCAAAGAAGTGGCTGCTCGAATTGTATGAACTTCTAATCATTTTTAATTGTTTTGGAATGTGGAATGATTCAATCTCAAGATCTATTGTATGTTTTAAATATGTTACAGGATGATCTAATGCATCAATCATCTAATGGTGAGTTTGTTGATCATGGCCGTGATGACGTACTTAGTAGGGCTTTGCAGAAGAAAGAAGGAACTGGACGAGTTAGGGCAGTTGGTGCTGGAGTGACACCTAAAATATACTTTGGAGCATGTGACTCAAAGAAAGAAAAGATAACAGAAATGGAATCACGTATCAAATTCTTAGAACAAGAGCTACAAGAATTGAAAAAATCGAGGTTGGAGGAGAAAATGAAACATCTTGATGAGGAGATTGTTGAAAATTATAGCATCGATGAAGTAGCTTTGGAACATAATAAAACCATTCAAATTCCTGAGGTAAAAATTTCATTATTTTTCTCATTAAATTTTGATTAGATTGTTAAAGACACGTGTGAAGATGCCTTATATGTAGTATAATTAAATATGTTAAAGTGATGCTGGTTGTGAAACTTTGAAGTTAAAATACATTGATATTGGTGTTGCCTTTGGAATATAAGCTTTACATTAATTTATATCGTTCTCACACTGCAACTCTTTTTTTCCCTATCATATTCTCTGGGAATTCAATACTACAACTCTGGGAATGTCATGTTGCTAGAGGTATATTGAACCTGATGGAGGTTCTATCTTCCCACTGGAACTCTTTCTAGCACTCTTATGATGAGTCTTATAAATTATATCATACATATCTAGTTGTCTAACAACAGGATTTAGCAAAATTACTAATTGAAGTGGTTAGATAACTATAAAGACAATTATTTGAACAAAATAGGGGCAAGGTATAATGTTTCAGACTCCATCCCAAAGTTCCTTACATTAGTGTTGAAACATTTATATTGCTATATTGTTAGGTCTTAGTTGAGACGAATTATGCTAAATCAATTTTTACTATTTATTATATAGGGAATAATTGCATGCCAGTTAGCTTTATCAGATCCGAGTTATAGAGTGGTAGCTACTGGAAAGGTGCACAATGTTAACAATGGTTCTGTGGTACATAATAAATCATTACCATCGGGTTACATGCGAGTTGCAATAGATTATACAACTGAGGAGCATACACCTTTGCCCGTCCCTCTCGATGATGGTGAAGCATTCGTCCTTAAAGATGCCATAAACACAATCGTATTGTGGCCCACACATCTCATTATTACAGATGTTCCGGTTTAAATCCATTTTTTTTTTAATATTATTTCTTGATGATTGCCACTTTGCGTTTTTTGGTTATAAAATTTTTACAGTTTTTTTTTTTTCTGAAAAAAAACTTTGGATTACTAGTGTTCACAGGGTCATAAAAGTTCTTCAGATCCCAAAGCTAAGAAGACCAAAGCTTCTGCATTGAATACCATATTAAGAAATGATGAACCTTCTCATGCATCATCTGAATATCAACCACAAAAGTTGGATGATAGTATTGAAACAATCCCATTCCCGGACACCCTTCCGGCTGATCTTCAAATAATGCACAAGTACACTTTGAAGATGGCTCAGAAAGAACAAATTCACATCCTTATTGACATGGGAATTCCTGGTCAAAATAATGAGATCTTCATAGGTCGTGAAGAGATTTTTCAATTTCTTGCCCAAGCAAAAATTGGTGTCTGTCATATCGTAATTCACATGTCGTGAGTGTTTATTAGTTGTTTGTTTATACTGTTTTTTTTTTTGTTTTTTTTTTTAAGGAAATATGTTTATGTTGGTTACATGATATATTTAGTTTTAAAGATCCATTTAGTCATATATCTTTCATGATGAATTCGTTAGGTTATTGCATCGTCGTTGCCAAATGCTTGGTTTAGTGGGTTTATTTGGCTTTTTATGTCCAAGTGGGATATCTCTCGTAGCAAAATTTAAGAAGGGAGAGATAAAGAAAGTTGAAGAGGATCAAAGAGCTCGTTCTGAATACATCAAGAATACATTATTTAAAGTTGAGGCAACTAAAGGAAGGGTCTTTCTAGCACCGTATAATGTTGGGTATGTATATTATTTTTTTATATTATATTTGTCCATGGTGAATAATTTAAACTACTAAGAGTTGGTTTTTACGCCTTACTACATAGGATTCATTGGGTGTTGTGTGTTATTGATCCGTATAATGACATCGTATATTTTCTGGTTCCTCTACACAATGAAAATAACAAAGGCACAGGAAATGGAATTGGAGATGATTTGCGTTCAATTGTCGACAGGTTAGAGACTTTTTTCAATTTCTTTTAATGAATATTGGTGCAAAATTCCTCTAAAAAGTGCCAGATTTCATATTTTTAGGTTGATTGTATAATTCTAAGCTCATTGTCATTTTCTTGTTTTAATTTCTTATATGCTGCTTCTTAAGATTTGGCATGTGAGTTTACTCCTAGATTTCTAATGGTTTTCTAACGAACAATTCGGTAAGAAGATGTCTTGTTGAGTTGTGCAATTATATACCATAGGAGTGCAGACAATACAATATTACCTTTAGTTGTGCAACTGATGTAGTGTCAACTTTGGCAGAAATGGTACGGAGTTGGAGAATTATGTAGGAAATGTATAAATAAGGACATAAGTGTAGTGTAGCATCTTTTATTCATCTACAATGGTCATCTCATCATCGATCTATTACTTGAAATCAAGTGTAAAATGCAAAAGTTAATTAATGCAATTTTCAAGGAGACATAATCAAGTGTGAAATGCAATGGTTAATTATTGCAATTTTGTTGTTATGCAGAGCACTCTTTGGTTTTCGAAGTGAAAAAGGATTGTTAAAGAAGATTAAAATGAGCACCAAGTGGGTGCAGATACAAGTATGTTGTATGACTGTAACTTTTGTTATATTTTACAATTTTTGAAATTATTTATGATTATTTTTTTGTCATGATTATGCAGTGCCCACGACAAAATAATGGCGTTGATTGTGGATATTACGTTATGAGATTTATGAAAGAGATCATTGACCATAAGCAAACCCAAATTTTTGAAGATGTATGACCTTTTCTTTGTTTTAAACTTAATATGCCTACATTTGATGCTTATTATGTTAATCAAAATTCTTATTTTATTTATTCTTTTTTGTCCGGTCTTATTTTATATTTTGCAGTACTTTCATGATTGCAATGTCTCAAGGTATGATCAAGACCAAATTGATGAAATCCGAACTCAATGGGCTTGTCATGTTCTTCTCATGTGAATATGTGGTTGATTCACCATGTATTTTAATTTGTAATAGGCCACAAATTTTTAATTTAAGAATTTTGTAGTGACTTAATTAGGGTATGTATATATTTGAATTGACATATATTATACTGTAATTTTTTCCCTTTCTTGGAGAGTGTTACCAAAAATGACTATTAATATTATTTGTATTTTATGAGACCTTAAGACATTTATTTCATTTGGAAAACTAAATTTAATTATGTTCTAGATCTTGGTTAGTTTGTACTGATTTGTTTAGCTACATATTTATTAATAATTATAATTAATGCATTATAAAGATTTTGAATTTAAAATATTTAACAATGCTTTCTAATAAATGCTATTGATTAATTCAAAATAAACCAATTATGAATGTCATCAACCTTCCCACCATTTTAATTGATTTTACAGCGGTTTATATTCACTGCTGCTAAATTGAACACTTTTAATGGCGCTTAACATAAGCGCTATAATTGTTTTAGCAGCGCATATATTTAATAGCGCTTTACAAACGTTGTGTTTTATAGAAAAAAAAAGCGCTGTTAATTAATCCTTTTGTTACAGTGCCCCTTTCGACCGGTTTTTCGTATTGTTTGCTCGATCCTACTTCCTGATTGAATTTTTTCTGACTTTTCTGAAACCCATATGTGTTCTACATATGGACATAACCCTCAGGGAATTCATGCTCCATCTACCCGATTGAACGCTCCGTGCAACAAAGGGTACATCCGAGATGTTGAATTCACCAAACCATGGAAGCGAGTTTTTTCTAAACTAGCGGTGTCCCATCCACTCGCGCCAACCCTTCACGGTTAGGCTTCCGCGCGGTGCATCTGGAAAATTAACCATGAACCCTCTATTGACTAAACCATATCCCGAACTTTAGAGAACTAGAGCCATGGTTAGGTTGCAAACTCATTGCATCATATTGTGCCTAGTTGACTAATTGTGCATTATTTGTTGTGCGTACTCTATGTGATTTTTCCTAACCGTTTGTTTGACTTGTGTTAAGACTAAATAAACTGATTAATGACCAAAGGACTTTGTTTAATTAATTAATCAATTAATTAATTAGAGCTAATAAATAAACATAAAATCGAGTCATAGTTCCTTTAAGTCAACCCGAATTTTTATTCCCGTATACTGCACAAACGTCAACTTGTTTTGGTCATAGCAAGAGTTCTAGAAAAAACTAAGAGTCAATGGAAGCGCCGACGTACAAGCATAGCGGAAGCAAAGTTCAGGCGAACTTTTAAGGATCGACAGATGGAGGTCTTCGGTAATTTCCTTTGGAAAATTATCGCATCAAATGAGGACGACTTCAAGTAAAGTTATTTTCGACGGCATTCGCTAAGATTGTGGAAGTTGTCACCAAAGATTTGAGGAGATTGTACGAGATGGGCGGTCTTTGACGGCATTCACTAAGATTGTGGAGGTTGTCACCCAAGATTTGAGAAGATAGCACGAGATGGGCGGTCTTCGACGACGTTCGCTAAGATTGTGGAGGTTGTCACCAAGATATGAGAAGAGCGGTTCATGATGAGGCGGTCTTCGACGACTTTTTCTATGATTGGAAATGTTGTCACTATGACTCAAGAAAAGGCTCAAGATGTAGCAACGTTGATCGACGGGGTTCCCTAGATTGCAGAAGATCGTCAAAACAAACAGCAAGATGACGTTCCATAGATGGTGGGAAGTTGTCAAAAATCAACTGAAGGTGATTTTAAGTAAAATAATCTTGGATAGTATTCCCTTGGACGCAAAATATTATTAATGCGGACGAAGGTTGTTTCAAGAGAAATAATCTTCGATAGTATTCCCTTGGACGTGGAATATTATTTATGTGGATGAGGATTGTTTCAAGAGAAATAATCTTCAATAGTATTCCCTTGGACGTGGAATATTATCAATACAGATGAGGATTTATTTCAAGAGAAGCAATCTTCGATGATATTCCCTTGGACGTGGAATATTGTCAATGCGGAGGATCGTTTTAGGCGAAGCAATCTTCTAATTTGGAAGTAGTTACGGGCGTAGCGATTTTCAAGCGGAATGGCATTCTCTAGCTTGCAGGAGGTCATCAAAACAATCGGTTACTTTCTGAGACGTGTGCTCGACGGTGCAAGATACACGTTTCTTAACTCTTTTATTTGTTTGACTAACGCTAGTTTTGCAGGTATCGGCGTTACAAGTTTGATTTAGGATCGCATAACGTTCTGAATCATTCTCCGTCCCTATCGATACTTTGACTTTCGTTTTTGAAACTTGCGTTTCTCCAAACTCAGTCAAAGTGGGGGCTTCTGTAGACACCCATTTGTGTCTCCTTAAAACCAAACCCAGTGATGAGTACCTTTTGCGTCGAATCATAACCGAATGAAGTGAAAGTGTGGAAAGTCTAGTGTTGCGGATAGTTTTAATTTCTTTTCTTTTTTCTCTGTTTTTGAAAACTTATTTTTAAGAAAACAGCCAATACAGTTTGGTTGGTCCATGATATGGGTCCAACAGTAGTGTAGTTGGATGGGGCTTGCAAAGATATTTCCAACGATATATTATAAGCCCAATTCCGATGAATGTTGAGGAAGTTATGGCCAATTTACTAAACTGAGTCCGGTTTGAGCCTTACATGCGGCCCAATGATCTAAGGGAGGGCCTAATACGGATTTATCATTCCTAATGCAATTAGGCATGGTTTTAGTCTTCTAGAATCTTCTAGAAGGTTCTTTTCATTCCTAATTCAATTAGCATTGATAAATTGACTTTTGACTTTTAAGAGTTTTAATCAAAATCAAATAGCATTTTTGAGGAAATTATATGATTTTATCCTCCAGTATGGCAAATTGATCTAATTTTCGAAAACGCGTTAAAATCAGGCTTGGCGCCTGGCCCCTGGCTTTGGCGCCTGGAACCAGGCTTGGCGCCTAGCGCTAGCCATTGGCGCCTGGCGCTAGTGTTGGCGCTTGGCGCCAGTTAGCCAGGGTTGGCGCTAACTATGTTTTTTGTGCGTCAGACTCTGTTTTGTTTATTTTATCTTTTTGGCTAATTTTCTCTATAAATATCGTATTAAAAAACTCCGTTTTCATTCACCAATTCTCACCAATAATCATCTACAATCAGTTTTAATTAGCATTCTCTAATTCATTATTCTCTCTCTTTCTCTCTCTTTTTCTAAACTTTGTTTTCAAATACAAAATTCCGCATTCGCAAGATCTAGAAACACCTAGCCATATTCGAAGTTGCCTTCGCCCTAGACGTGAAAGCTTTTAATTTCTGAGGGTTTTGTCCCAAATCACTATTTCAATTATTTAATTTAATTGTTTGATTAATATTTTCCTTGAAGTTACTAACGTGTGTATTTTGTTATTAGAAAGAGGTACGAAGTATCAAAGTAAGTACTTTAATGGTTTTTATTAATATTATGATGCAGAAATCATGTTTATATTATTGTTATGATATTCCTAGTATCATGTCTAGGGTAATTTTAATATTAAATATGATTGCTATGATGCCTTTTATTCTCTGCCTAATATTTATGAATGTTAGTATCATGTTAGGGCTCAAGATTTAATTTTTATTGCTTAGTGACATGCTAGGGTTTGTTATTAATCTTGTTTGTATCATGCCTAGGATCTTGCTATTTTTATCATGCTTTAACATGATTAATGATTATTTTTATATTTGTTTTGATTATGATTATAATTTTATTATTATCATAATTATTATTATTATGATCATGATTATTAATATGATTTTTATTATGATGATTATAATTGATTATGATTATGTTGCTTGATATTTATTTATTTATTACTTGATCACACCTTTATTGCATGTTTAAAGGGAATTTGTACTTGTAATCACGCTTAATAAGATATTTAATAATCTTGTTAAGGTTAATATGATTATAATTTCAAGTGATCGCCAATAATAGATTTATTTGTGTATTAATAGTCAACCAACATAGATAAACAAGTTTAGGGTAATCCTATTGATTGCATGTTAATCAGAAAGCGCACATGAATACGATCAGAATAAAGTAGAGGCCTATTATTAGGGTAGGTTCAATATCTTTTAGGTTGGATTTGTACCTTCATCCCCGAACCCTTATTTGGTTCTAGACCTTATGGAGTTGACGATCTCTTGGATCGTTAAGGGTGTAACCTTCATCCTATGAACGGTTTACAAGTTCCTAAAACTTGTTGGCGACTCTTTTGCTCTATCTTCTTCCCTTTTGGACTCCACCGTACTTTAGTGTATGATCATAGTGGGGTTCAAGATAGGGGTTTAATGCTTGAAAATATTCCCTACAGTTTTTGGCGACTCCGCTGGGGAGGATTTCTATTTTAATTCCTGAAATTATTTCGGAAATGATTTAGAATGAGTGGATGAGACTCGAAACGTTCTAAGTATTTCATGTGCGTAATTTTGATTAACATTATTGTCATATGCATAAAAAAGATCTCATTGGAAAGACCATCTGTAATGAGTTAAAAACATAGGATTTTACAAGTAGGAAATTTGAGGAATATCTTTCCCAACTAGGACCGAAATAACACCGCGCGAAACTGGAAAATTTTATCGAGCACAAAAAGCTGCTGAGGCATGTGGGAAGTAGCGTCAGGGGCCAGAGCTTGGCGCCAGAATTTTAGCCGTAGCGCCAGACGCTTGTATTGGCGCCAGGCGCTACAGTTAAAAGCTGGCGCCAGTCTCTGTTTGTTGGCGCCAACCTCCCCCAATACCGAGCTAGAAATATGCATTCCAATTTCGACCGATTTTTCGTATTGTTTGCTCGATCCTACTTCCTTATTGAATTTTTTCTCACTTTTCTAAAACCCATATGTGTTCTACATATGGACATAACCCTCTGGGAATTCATGCTCCATCTACCCGATTGAACGCTCCGTGCAACAAAGGGTACATCCGAGATGTTGAATTCACCAAACCGTGGAAGCGAGTTTTTTCTAAACTAGCAATGTCCCATCCACTCGAGCCAACCCTTCACGGTTAGGCTTACGCGCGGTGCATCCGGAAAATTAACCATAGACCCTCTATTGACTAAACCATATCCCGAACTTTAGAGAACTAGAGCCATGGTTAGGTTGCAAACTCATTGCATCATATTGTGCCTACTTGACTAATTGTGCATTATTTGTTGTGCATACTCTATGTGATTTTTCCTAACCGTTTGTTTGACTTGTGTAAAGACT